AAAAAAAAAAAAAAAAAATTATCAAGTCTCATCTGAAATGACTTCTTCCTCAAAGAAGTTACCGCCTTCTTTAAACTTCACAAAAGCGTAGCTGCAGTACCCTAATGTAATGCTGCGAACTACTGAAGAGATCATTGATGGAGCTTGCGCTAATAATACTGCTATTTTTGTGAAAGAAATCCCTTCAGGGCTAGTTTTCTTAAAACTTGATATGAACATAGGTAATTGTTTGATGAATGAAGAAATAGAAACCTAAGTCAAGTTAAATAAAGTCAGCTCAAGTTACTGTCACTTTTAACCAAAAAACTTGCACTCCCTTTAAAAGCATTGGGGTTGAAACACAAAAAGGCAATATAGCAAAATATGAAAGATAGAAAATTGCTTTATACTCAGCTACCTTAGAACCAATCTGGCCTTAACACATACAGTTGCAAAGCACTCTCGCAACATTAAATGTAGAAATCGGACAAAGATTTCCACTAAAAACTTTAAGAATCAATACTTATTTTTATGTCACAAATTAATTAAATTAATTGTGACACAGTGCCAAAAGTAGTTAAGAAACATTATTTGAGTGTTTTTAGTGTTTATTAGGCTTTAGATATCTAAAGTATCTAATATTGGAACTGATATCTGTACCAAATATAAACACTCTGCTTATGAAATAACTAACAACTGATTTTTCCCGTTGATAAATGAATAACAAATGGTTGAACCAATAGATGCGATCCTAAGCAACATCATTATTTGCTAGATTATATTTAAAAAAATAAAATTAATAAAGAGATGTCAAGAAACTAAAGACTTTCTGGAAGTCGTTATACATGAGGCTTTAAATCATGTACTTCAAATGAAACTAAAAATTAAATAAAAGGTTATAAAGCATTGTAATTATCCAGGGTGTCGAAATGGGAGCGGGAACTCCTGTGATTATCTTCTATTGCTTTACTTATGGTCGAAAGAATATATTGGAAATTCTTTTATAAATATATAGTTATGTGTATTGTATATATATTTATTATTAATAATATATGTATTTATATATAAAACTATTTCGTCAGATATTGTTCTTCATTATCCTGTAACTAGATGATAAAGCACAGAATAATCACAACCTTTATGTTAAATAAATAGGCAATTATATTATATATAACAAGAAGTAGTGCTAACAACAAGTTATATGACCCATTATGAAATTATGCAGGTTCTTATTTATATCCTGCTTGCATATAAGCCTAAATAAATAGAACTCAATAGTAAACTGTAAATGATTGAGTTCCTTATTCAAAATACACACAGAGTCACATAGAGTAACCGTATTCATACACGTCTCGGTATTATTTGAGCTGCTTATCTTTTTGTTTCCTTTCTGCCTGAGTTTATTTGTCATGATTGGCATTAAAATGGGTAAGCATTTCCTTTATAAATTGACAAACAGAATCCTTTTTCTTGTACGGCGCAGTTTTATGCGACAACTTTGCTGTAGGCAAAAAGGCAGCTCAATAAAAAGAATTCAGAACACAAAAATTGCTAGAAAATGGAAAAAATTATAAAGAATTTGATGTTTTCCATTTAAGTTTTTCTAAACATCCTTTTTGTATGTACGAAACTTTTTTACTGTACTGCGGGCATAAATATAAACATTGATAAATGCGTTTGCCTAAGGGATTGATTACCCAAAGCTATTCAAATAAAATTAAAGTTTGAGAGCCATTTTTGTGGTTATAAATATATTCTTGCTTTTATTCGTAAAATCTGGCGATCGTATTGTATAGAAAATGTCAGGAATAAACAATACGAATTGAATGAAAGTCATTTTTAAATATAACGAACATATGTGAAAAAAGTTCACATATATATAATTATAGTTATTATATATTTATACGATGGAAAATAACCTGAATTTATGCTCTTTAAGAAAGAACGACTTTAGTTTGATTTGTATTGTAATAATGACAGAGGCAGAGATTCTTAAAAATTGAAATGATTCTTCCAACTCCCTACAAAAAGCGATGATATATTTGACATCCTACGTCAAATCAATATTAAACATGATAAATTTCGGATACTAGAAACGTACCAGTCAGCTACGTCAACTAAGGCGATATCTGCTCAGCACTACGGTATCTGTGCTGACCGGCCACTGCATAATACGGAGGCATGCTATGATACTAAGTTTACCCTACAACGACTTTAGTCGCGGCTTTGGTTCTGAAGATGAGTAGGAGACAATACTCCATCTCATGTGCCAGTGTCCTTCATGTGCCAGTGCCCCTTTTCTTATCGACCCGACCGAGCTGCAATATTAGGGACTTATCCAAATTCATAGCAGAGTCAGATTGGTTTACCTTTATCTACTGGTGGTCCTCATTAACCTTTCAGTCTATGCACGAACTAACGCTATTCCTATGGTATCATAGTGTGCCACTATTTGAACTCAAGTGAGCTTTCTTGAATATATAACGCCGCCACTCCAACCTACCTACCTAAGAACGTTAAGGTGTGTATATTTTGAAGAATGCCATGTAATCCAATTTATTTATTTTTATAAAAATCGTCCAAATACTATGTTTTCTTTATTCATTCTATATATTAATTTATCAAATTCGAGTATATATTCTGTAACATATTCATCGGTTTTATAAGTATAGAGTAAGTATATTAATATTTCATATTACATCAGCATTAATTTATTGTTTGGAAAATGGATCCAAAAGGAATAATTCATCAACATTTGAAGGCAATTATAACACATCACTCAATATGTCGTCTGACTAACTAAGAAAAACAAATTTTTTCTGCTCAAAATCGACTTATCAATATAATCTCCTTCAAGGGCAATACAATTATTCCAACGCTTCTCTAACTTCTCGATGCCGTGTATGTAGAAGGATTTCTCTTTAACCTCAAAAGAGATAAAGCGTGCCTTTGGACGTTCCGGACGTGGTTTATCGGCTGGAATCCACTCAGATGATGATCGTTTCGATTTCGGAGTGAATGATGGATCCATGTTTTATCCATTGTCACATATCGTTGCAAAAATCTGATTTATTACGTGTATTACGTGTACACACTGTTCTGAATCATCAACACGTTGTTGTTTTTGATAGACTCTGAGTGAACGCGGCACCCGCATCGAATATAGCAGAAAAGAGCTTTCTCATTGTCAAATGTTCATGCATAATTGTAAACACACTGCCTTCTGATACCTTTACGGTCTCAGCTATCTGACGCAATTTCAATTTACAATCAGATATAATCAATTTCTGGACTTTTTTGATGTTTTCTATAGTAACCACCTCAATTGGACGACCAGAACGTTCACCATCATCGGTGTCTGTACGACCAAGATTCTTTTCGATGAAGCAGAGTCATGGCTTTTGAAGCCATTGCTGAGCTTGTGCAGTATCATGAAGCAATGATAAATTAACACTCGAAATTGTTTTGAATCCATTGTTTTGAAAATAATAAAAGTAGCTTCATTTAAATGGCTGTTACTTTTTTTCTGACTAATCGAAATGTCATGAAATTTAATACATAGTCTTTAGAAAATTGGTACTTCATAAACGTCATATGGATTTGACAATAGCAACTCCATCCGTGTGTCAGTCACACGCCTTATTGAGCGATGTAATAATCGTTAGTTGAAGATAATTATAATGACTTGTACTGGGACTTAGGGACGATAAAAAAAATGACATATCTGTTACAGTTACATTGTGTTGCATTAATTGTTTTTTTTTTTAAATTTTAGTTATTTATTTAAAAACCCTAATTTTTAATCTTTATTAAAATACTATTTATTTTTCTTTCATTTCGATTTTCTTTCATTTATTGATAACCGCTAAAAGACATGTTAGACAAAGTTTTAATAATAATTATAGTTATTAATAAAAGTATTAAGGAACTGAATAATGAATTTAAAAAGATGTCGTCATCAATTTTTAAAGCATATTATTATCAAATATGTATGAATATCAAGAATTATTAATTAATGACCAAGATAGAAATGTCCATGAAGTTTCTTGAATAGCATTTCTTTCGACAATAAAAACATCATAAATCTCTTTCCTCAGACATCGAATATAGCATATATATGGTATATAACTTTTTTCATAGCAAATAGAAATTTTTTTAAATTTTTTTTCAAATAAATAACCCATATTTGGACTACAATTTGGTTATATATTTTTTAGACGTAAATGAAAGATTTTATGAAATATATTCGCACAAGTGCTAAATACAACAGCACTTTTTGCCGTGTACCATAAATGGTCAACAAACACCTTTTCGTTTATTTTTGTATTGTTTATAAACAATAAACTATCGCCAGCTGTTGGCTTATCAACAAGTTTGGGTATCAGAGATAACAATAGTACATTTGTCTGAATTATTAAATATTCAATGTTTTGATTCAGCGCATTTGAATGTCAAGCGTGGCGCTCAGAAGGTTTAATAACTTTTGGCAACTCATTTTTTTTGTTTATTTTCAAATTGGGATAATGCTCAGTTCAGTGCACTCATTAACAAAACAAATACACCGCACTATCAGTTGATGAGTCACATAAGAAATGAGCAATAGAATATGAAAACTAAAACATTTATATGGAATTTATTACTACTTCAGTACCGGTCGATCAAGTAGGAACTAATGTCATTTCACGTTGTTCTAAGATTTGTTATTTAAATTCAAACAGAGTTCGTCCACATTATGTCAACAGCAGAAAATTTTAACAATGATGAACTCGTTGCACCGCAATGGTTAAATAAAGATTTTCTGAAAAAAGTGATAGATAATTATGAAAAAACCGATGACGTGAAAAAACTGATGAACATAGGCAAAATTATGACGTCAAGAGAGCATCGCAAGACCCAGCTTATGAATAAAGAATTTTTGGATGAACTTTATCAACTATTACCAAAATACTTACACAGTGGATATTTTGAGGATTTGATATAAATGGAATTAGGTTATGGTAATGTTGTTTTTAAAATAAATAATTAAGCTTTTAAATGAAGCATATAATTAATATGCTATGATATTTAATAAAAATATTAAACTGAGAAATAATTGAAAACTACTGTTTTTAATTATCAACTAACAAAAATATATCAGAACTCGGTTAATATATTTCAGCCAACTGTTAGTCTAAATGTATATTGTAAGTGATCCCACTCATTATAGTTGAAAAGTGTGATTCGATGTTCATATGTATAATTTAATACACAATTTAATAGATTTGATATATAAATGCATATGTAACTACATTTGATAATAAATACATTACGTGAAAGACCTTAACCAATCCGTTCATTTTTTGAGTTGGTTCAAACAACTAAGCTAGTATGTTAATTTAAAAGAATTAAAATTATTAAAATTTAATATAGTTAATAACAGGGACCGAAAATCACCCAAGCAGCAACAAAAAGTTGTCTAAACTCATATTTAAGTATATAGTTGTCATTCCAACAACTTTCATCCTTAATATAGTGCATGATTATATATATGAGAGTTTTAAAATATAACTCAAAAAATAATAATTATATTTAAAACGCGCAAATAACTATTATTTTTGCCTCAAAAATATAAAAATCATAAGCAAACATGGACGATAAAATCGAAACCATAAAACTATGGAATGTATGTAAAAAATCATTCATTTATGCCATGACCGCGGCTATGTTGTAGCCTAAGATGAATAAGACTAAACACTGAAATATTTCAAGGAAGTATTCGGTGACAATCCCAGAAAGAGACGCCCAACTCGCGTGGATTTGTCCCATATAAAAACAATCTTTCGTTCCTTCCAGACGAACGAAAAATGGGTTTAAGAATGATCAAATATACTGTTCTCACAAGTTGAAGAGTAGCAAAGATGTACATAATGAAAATGGCTCCAATGTACATTTCCACTATGTACAGTATCTTGAATCAGAGATCCTCAATAAGTAACATAAAAGCAACAGCATTAACGCAACTTCAACTCAGTGCACGAAAAAGCAAGAAAATAATAAAGATAAGAAGTCGCTCCGTCAGCGTAGACAAGGGTTCCACATATGCAAGAAAATAAGAAAATAGCTGAAATGAAGCTATATTAAGAACCTCACCATGGCAGATGATAGAAAGGTCAAACATTTACTGATAGAGTCCAAGTACAACTTCTTCACGTTCACTCCTTCTGAGAACTAATCGTTCGCGTTTATCATTACAAAGCTAGCCTCAGGTTATACGGTGGAGAAGATTTTCCAGTATCTGAGGGATCTTTATCTTAATATTGACAAAACTATCTAGAATAAATTGACGAGTCCAAGTAACTGATACAAATAGGTAGTTCGTTAGATATAGATGATATATCACGTCCTCAGGACGTGTTAACGGCGCATAACCTTACCGCAATTGTCGAGGACCTGAACACAGAGCATACAGACTGGGATAACCAGGTCTTAGCGTTGGGCATTGTTTTATATAATAACTTAATAGCGGACTTGGGTATTTCGACTTAAGACATGTTCACACTTGTGTATGCGAATAACATCATTTTGCTGACGCCGAAGCTCCACATCTCCAGAGCGAACAAAATGATCAATCAACACCTTCATGTAGTCAAGGAATATTTATGCAAATAATAACTGAAGATCACTCCTAACAAGTGAGGTGCCAAGAAATACAAAAAACTTCTGCCTCCGAAAAAGAGGCGTTTCTACCCAAACATTAGAATCGGTAGAGATTAGAATCGCTAATAGGGATTAAGTAAAGGTAAAATGCTTTGACCCGGATCATTTTATTTTGACATGACCTTGTACATTCAATTTCTTGTCGAAAATTCGAATCAATATCTTAACTTTTGAGGAAAACATCAAAATCTTCAACGCGACAAAACAAATTTTTCCTTAAGAACATAAGAAACCCATATCTCGAGATATTGGATAATAGCAAGGCGTCACAAATGATCATAAACCTTGAATCAAACTAGTTTACACACACCTATACTTTATCTTATTTGAATATACTTTTCGTTTTAAATTCAATATTACATTAGTATAATAAAATTCTTAGATATTGCACATTTAAGACTACGATTAACATTCTTAGGGTACTAAGTTTTGAGAATCAAAGTTCATTTTGGACATCTTAACGTACGCCAAGACGTTAAAAAAATACACTGCTGCTCTAGAGCGAATACGAGTACTACTATTCACATTAAAATATCTAAACTTACGTTCTTTATCATCAAACTGCGTCAAAATGTGATTTAAAACCTTTTATTAAATACAAGTTCTTATATCAACAGTCCAAGTCGCTAAATAACACTAGAATGAGCAGAAAACATTGTTATTTTAGTTATTACGAATTTCATTTGTTGAATTTTTACCAATATAATTCAAGAACCATACACAAAGCATTATAGTGGGTATAATTGAGCAGGTATTTTTCTTTGAATCGGCTATAATTAAATATGTTTTTCAGTTAAGCTATAATGAATTAATAATGAAAACCACATAGGGGGAGAAGGAGGCCGCATGCCTCTGGGAGCGTGTACAAAAGGCAACGTGTCTGATTGCATTTAACATGGAAAATGCCAGCGCAATCCTTGTTGTCCTTAATCCAAGTTGTCGCACAGCCTCCTCGTGGCACCCCTGTACTGTGTGAAAGGTTGAAGCCACATGCCAACTCATTGATTGGACCTTATCAGTGCGGCTTTCGACCTGGTCGCTCCACCATTGATCTGATATTCACACTGCGACAAATCCTGGAAAAAGCCCACGAACATAACATCGACACTCATCACCTTTTTGTCGATTATAAAGCAGCTTTCGATAGCCCCATTAGGGATCGCGTTTAAGCCGCAATGTCTGAGCTCTGTATCCCTGCAAAATTAATTCGACTTTGCAGAATGACACTGAGCAATACCCGTAGCTCCGTCAAGGTAGGATCGAGTCTATCTGAACCATTTGATACCGTGCGAGGGTTCAGACAAGGTGATCCCTTATCATGTGACCTCTTCAATTTCGTCATTGAAGTGATCATGTGCAGGGCAGGTGTTCATCGTTATGGAACAATATTCTACAAATATGTCCAGCTCCTTGCTTACGCCGACGACATTGACATCATTGGGCGTAGCAAGCGTGATGTTACAGGTGCTTTTGCTGCTATCGAAAAGGAATCTGCAAGAATGGGTTTAGCGGTGAATGAGGGAAAAACGAAGTATATGTCGGCTACTGGTAGAAATGTGCGTCGCTCGGACACCGGGCTAGTGGCTGGCGACTATACTTTCGAATCTGTCAAGGATTTCATCTACCTTGGCACCGCCGTAACGAATACAAATGATGTCAGTCTGGAGATCAGACGAAGAATCACCATTGCTAATAGGTGCTATTATGGGCTCAGAAGGCAATTGGGATGTAGAGCTCTCTCTCGACAAACTAAACTTACGTTCTATAGGTCGCTCATCCTCCCTGTGCTTTTGTATGGCGCAGAAGCATGGACGTTATCACAGAATGATGAAGCAGCACTGGGAGTGTTCGAGAGAAAAGTTCCTCGTAAGATCTTTGGTCCTCTACGAGTTGGCGACGACTACCGCATTAGAATGAACCACGAGCTGTACGAGCTTTATCACGACATTGATATAATTCAGCGCATTAACATCCAGCGGCTTCGCTGGCTTGGTCATGTCGTGAGAATGGATGAAGACGCTCCGGCGAAAAAGATGTTTGAAGCAGTAGTTGGCGGAAGAAAACGTAGAGGTAGACCGTGTGTCCGGTGGAGTGATCAAGTTAAGGGAGCACTAACTGGACATGATATCCGAGACTGGAGAAGGCGCGCACGTACCAGAGGCGCCTGGGGAGACATGCTGCGTCAGGCCGAAACTCGATAACGGGTTGTTATGGCCACATAAATAAATAAATAAACATAATCCTTTTATTCATCAGCACCTCCAGCGGTACACTTAACTGCGTGTCTATAATAACTTAAACTAAATAATGTGTTCTCTTGCATTGTTTTTAAAACCTCAACCTTGTATTATATAGTATATGTTATGCCTCAATGCAACTTAGCAAAATGTAACAAATATCCACAAACTCATTCTGTATGGAATTGGGGTCTGAATATATATGTGCATACACTTCCATTTATCTGATTGTTGATGCACTTGAAACAAACACAAAATCGCACAAAGATGTTCATCTAATTTATGGGCGATACTCCCAATCTGCAATTTTTAAACTGACAATGAAAAGCTACAACTTGTGGATACTGTTTATTTAAATTGCAATTGCTATTTCTGCTGTTTGTAATAATATCATAAGTGTTGTATAGATACATTATGTTGTTACTATTCTGATTCATGTGATTTTGCTATTTGTAAATATGCTACAAGCTACTGTTTTTCTTGTTATATTAGCAACTATACTGTTTTTGCTATTTATTACTGCAGAGTCGCTGTAGTAATTATTCCCGATTAAAAAATTTTTTTGAATGCAACAGTTCTTCTATTTGGATAACTTCAATATATATCAACCTAATTCACGAAAAATTAAAATAAGTGCCGGAGTTCACATTTCACTAGTAGAGCAGTGAATAATTTTTGAGCTTTTACGGCGAGCTTAAAGACTAAATTTTTGATTTAAACTAACTTAAAAAGAATATATTTAGTACTATATTAATCAAGCACCTTTCTTATAATGAAGGTAATGAAGGTTACTATCAATTACTCGAAAAGTAATTGAATTTTTTAAATACATATCACATTACTCAATAAATCTCAGATCCGATACATATATTGCAACACTATTGGCAAACCCATATGATATATGAAAAGTTATGTGCCTCGAAAACAACAATTTTTCGTGTCGTGAAAAATCATTTCAAAAATTTCCCTGTATCCCCAAAAATTCACTGATTGTAAAAATATAATATTTCATTTTTGTAGTTGCAACAGTGATGAGGGAAAAACTAGA